AGTTATATTATTATCAGCATCACGTGTGCGTCTAATTTATCCGTCGGTGCATTCCTTCCAGTAAATCCCTTCAACCTAAACGATCATGCCCTCTCTCTCTCTCTCTCTCTCTCTCTCTCTCTCTCTCTCTCTCTCTCTCTCTCTCTCTCTCTCTCTCTCGCCCCACCCGTCCCTGTTCCCGCTCATTTATATTATTATCAGCATCACGTCTGTTCTAATCTATCCGCCGGTGCGTTCCTTCCAGTAAATCCCTTCAACGTAAACGATCATGCTCTCTCTCTCTCTCTCTCTCTCTCTCTCTCTCTCTCTCTCTCTCTCTCTCTCTCTCTCTCTCTCGTGCGCGCGCGCTCTCTCTCTCTCTCTCTCTCTGTGTCTCTCCCTCCAGTGCCCTACACAATTCTCAGCGCTCCGTATTTCTGTCCCTTCCTGTCCTTAAAAAAGCCATAATAAGGGAATCTATATACCTGTCTAAGACCATTATCAACACGTCTGCGTTATTATCGCTGGTCCATTCACTCATGCACCGCAACCTATTCAATCGTGCCCTACCTTCTCTCTCTCTCTCTCTCTCTCTCTCTCTCTCTCTCTCTCTCTCTCTCTCTCTCTCTCTCTCCCCCCCCCCCTTGCCTGAAATCTAACTCCTTGACATATTCACTCATGCAGTCTTCCCTTGCTTTACCCTATTGAGATGATTTCGTCAGCTTCTCTATTTTTAAGGCACTCTGCTCCCATTGTCCAAAAGCATAGTTCTTCGTAACCGATAGGGACGCCCCAGAGGAGTTGCCTCGGGATGGAGGGCGATGGGCTCTCCCAATAGCAACGCAATTAACGTGTCATCCAGCGAATGTCTCACTGGCACAATTCCTCGACCCTGTGCGACAATCATCGACCCTGTGCGACAATCATTAGTAAGAGATTAGTAATCATCGACCCTGTGCGACAATCTTACGCTTGTATCTAAAGCACTTGTTTGGCCAGACTCGGTCGACACAATGCCTAGGTAATCGTACCCCTCAGTCCGTTGCTACCATCTATCGTCTGGTGTGTGTGCATCTGTCGCAGCAAGAAGTGCTTCAGCAACTGTCCTCCTCGCCATCCCTTCCCCTAATCTCCTCCCCCTCCTTCTCTCTCTCTCTCTCTCTCTCTCTCTCTCTCTCTCTCTCTCTCTCTCTCTCT